GTTCCCTCTTCTTCCCCTTACCCTTCTCCGTCTTCTCCCCCCCTTCCCCTCTTTCTCCTCTCTCCCCTCCCCTCCCCTCCCCTCCCTCCCCCCCTCCCCTCCCCTCCCCTACCATCCTTCTTCTCCTCCTTCCCCTCCCCTCCCCTCCCCCTATCCCTCTCTATGGGATTCTTATTACACTCCTTTTGGTCCCCAATGAAAAAATGCTTAATGGCTCAGAATTAAGCTTAATCACTGCTCTCTTTTTTAAATATACGAATATTTTTAGATACATTTCTTTATTCTGTCGAGTCATCAGTTACGAAGGAAAAAGGAAGGAAAGAGAAGAGAAGTAAAGAAAAGAGGAGAAAATAAAAGCGTGTGACTTTTAGATACATTTCTTTATTAGGTCACAAGTCATCAGTTACGGGGGATATTTACCGCTCGCGAAAGAAAGGAAAGGAAAAAAGAGAAGAGAAGAGAAGAGAAGAGCAGAGCAGAGCAGAGAGAGAAGACAAGAGAAGAGAAAGAGAGAGAAAAGAGCAGAGCAGAATTGAAAAGAAAAAGCAACTCGAGGTGTAAATAATTAAATAGATATATAGATAAACGGAATCTATCTCTGGATCTGGGTATTCTATTTGTGTTTCTATATATGCTTATGATGCATGTCCACTTATGTTTATATGTTCAGACACACGTTCTCACCCTCCCTTCTATCTCCTCCCCTCCCCTCTCTCTCTCAGTCTCAGTCTCAGTCTCAGTCTCAGTCTCAGTCTCAGTCTCAGTCTCAGTCTCAGTCTCAGTCTCAGTCTCAGTCTCAGTCTCAGTCTCAGTCTCTCTCTCTCTCTCTCTCTCTCTCTCTCTCTCTCTCTCTCTCTCTCTCTGTATAGGATATTATAATTGTTCCTTCTCCTACTAACATTCTTCCTTCTCTATTTTCTTCTAATTTCCACGATCACTTTGATTGGTCAAACGGCTCCACCAACCACGCCCCTCGACACAGCGTTACAGCCAATCAACGTCGTCGTTTCAGAAATGCTTTGACTGCCCGCGCTTTCCATGAATTTTGATTGGTCATTAAACTCCCGCCTTTAGTGACGTCACTTATGGCTGTCGCGTGAGCATGTGATCCTAGTGTTTATGTATGTGTGGGTGGCTCAGGTTAGGAGGGAGGGAGGGAGGAGAGAAGGGGACGGAGGGACGGAGGGAGCGAGGGAGGGTTGGAGGTTAAGGAGGAGGGTTGGAGGCTAAGGAGGAAGGCTAAGGAGGGAGGGGTTTGGAGGCTAAGGAGGGATGGGGCGAAGGAAGGACGCAGGGATGGAGGGAAGGAAGGAAGGTGGTCGAGGGAACGGGGGAAAGGAGGGATGGGAGGAAGGTAGAAAGAAGGAAGAGGTAGGAAAGGAGAGAGAGAATGAGGAAAGACAGAAAGACGGGAGAGAGGAAAGAGGGGAAAAAAGGAAGTAGGAAGGATACAGAGGAGAAAAAAAGAAGGAAGTAGGAAGGATACAGGATAAAAAACAAACAAACGCGTCCATAACAAAAGCGAGTAAACAGACAACTAGCACCAGACGCACGAATTGAAAGAGAAAATACACAAAAAGCCCAGATCAGAAAAACAATAAAAAAGAAGACGAAAAAACAGAAGCGAAAAAAAAGAGAAACCAGAAAAACAATAACAAAATCCAAACCAACAGCTCAATACGCCAAGACCCCGCACCTCCCACCCACCCCACCCCTACACCCATCCCTCACCCTCCGCCTCCCCCCCCCCTACACCCCCTCCCCCTCCGCCCCCCTTCGCCAACCCCATCCCTCCCCCTCCTCCCTCCTCCCTCCTTCCTCCCCCTCGCCCCGCCCCTCTTCCTGAACCGGAAACCCGCCTTGTCCCGAGACGGTTCGCAACCTCCTCCCGGCAGCCGTTGCTACTACGAACCGGTTCCGTCCCAGAGCCCTCGCCCTCGCCAATGCGGTTCCGAACCAGCGAAGCGCCGACGCTGCCGACAACTTCCAGACTAACTCTTCTTTACTCCCCATTATCGCTCCGTGCTTCATCTCCACCCCCCGTCGCGCTGCCGCTCCTCCTCTTTATCCTGTATTATGACTATACCTCTTTTCTCTTCTCTTTTCTCTTCTGTTTGGGTGCTTCTCTTTCTACTTATTCCCTTATTCTGATTCTGTGCTTCGTTTTTTCATTCCCTGAAGTGGCTCTGTGCTTCATTGGCATTCCATAGCAGGCCTATAGTTGTGCAGAAAATCTTCTATGTTCCTAGACCTTTTTCTACGATTCACTTTAAAATATAAAAAAAATCCATTAACTATTCCAGGATGAAGCCACGCACAGTTATCATGTGTTTCTCTTTTTCCTTTCTGTTTTTTCCTTTTCCATCTCCCTCTACCTCTTCCCCTATTTTATTCCTTCCTCCCTCTCTCTACCTCCTCCCTTCCTCTTCCCTCCATCTTCCTCTCCTCCTATCTTTCTTCCTCTCCTCCTATCCTTCTTCCTCTCATTCCATCCTTCTTCATCTCATTCCATCCTTCTTCTCCTCCTATCTTTCTTCCTCTCCTTCTTCCCTCACACCTTCTCCTTTCATCCTCCCCTCACTCCCATTCTCTCTCCTCCTCCCTTTCGCCTCCTCTTCCCCTTTCCCTTATTCCCTCCTTCTCCTCTCCTCGCCCTCCTCTTCCCCTTTCCCTTATTCCCTCCCTCTCCTCTCCTTGCCCTCTTCTTCTCCTTTCACTTTCTCCCTCATTCTGCCACGCTTGAGT